CCTGGGCGCGCGTCCTTCCTCGGCGCGGGCGGTGGGGCGGTGCCTCCGCCCGCGCCTCATCTCTCCGCCCACCTCTCTCTCTGTCTCTTTTTCTCTGTCTCTCTGTCTCTGTCTGTCTGTCTGTCCGTCCGTCCGTCCCTCTCGCCCCGCAGGAGCTTCCGACGCCACCCAGGTGTCCAACGGCAAGAGAATGAGAACCGCGTTCACCAGCACGCAGCTCCTGGAGCTGGAGCGCGAGTTCTCTTCCAACATGTACCTGTCTCGCCTGCGCAGGATCGAGATCGCTACCTACCTGAACCTGTCGGAGAAGCAGGTGAAAATCTGGTTTCAGAACCGCAGGGTGAAGCACAAAAAGGAGGGGAAGGGCGCCCAGAGGAACAGTCACGCGGGCTGCAAGTGCGTGGGCAGCCAAGCGCCCTACGCGCGCTCTGAGGACGAGGACTCCCTGTCGCCCGCGTCCGGTAACGACGACAAGGAGCTCTCCCCCTTGTGAGGGGCCGCGCTCCCAGACCGGCTGCTCGGGCAGGCCTCCCCGCACCCCGCAGCGCCGACACGGGGGCGTCCGGGCGCCGGAAGTCTCTCCGTCGGGCCGTCCTCGCACCTGCAGAAGGAACGGGCGGAGCGTGCTGGGGAGTTCGGAGCTGGGCCTAACCCTCCTCTGGACCTTCTCATGCGGGGCTCCATTCGGAGTTGCAGATAGTTTTTTTAAAAATGTAAATAATCTAGAATCCAACTTAGAGGAAAAACAGGGTTCTTTTAAGTCTAACACTGTACGGGGTTTCCGAAAGCACGTGTCATTTCTCTGCCCGCCCATCTTTCAGAACTTGATGAGAGCATGCGGTTTCCTCATTTTTTGATGCTGTTATTTTGAAATGAAATCACTGAAGTTGCAAACAAGTTAGAAAATTAAATCCTGTAGGTCTTGCATTCTGAAAATCCAGCTGGGGAGAATTGTAAATCCAAGTCGCTGCAAGTCCCTTTGTATGTGAATAGTTTTATATAAAATTTATATTTATATTTATTTAAATAAATAAAACAAAAATCAGGATTTTAAATCTGTGGTGTTTGCTGTCCCTCCTCGAACACCTAGAGAAAGACACTGACGGGAGAAAAGAACCTGCGGCCTCAGAGGCAAGTGTGACCTGCCACTTGGGGATGTGGGTTTCTCGGCTGAGAGAGCCGGTGGCTTCAGAGGTTTTCCGTGTGACTGAAGCTTCTGTCAGGAAGAAACCTCTAGTCCTAGGTGCGCCGGACACTCAAAACAAGTGACTTCCTCACCCTAGACAGAAAAAATTGCCGCATTTTGAGCGACATTAACAATGATGACAGGTAAGCCTTTTCTTTAGCAAGGAAAGGTGAAAAAAATCCCTTACTTAATACATATTTACTTCTTTCTCATTTCTCTTAGTGCTAAAACCTAAGTTATGTGAAGGAATTTGCATAGTTACAATGGGTTTTGCCATAGCAACGACCCACCCAGGGGTCCCAAGCCCTCCGAAACTTACAGATCTGAAAGTTTGGTGTTCCTGGTTTACCCTCGAAACCCAGGGACAAGGAAATATTTTGTCTAAAGAGCTACAATTTCACATTTCTAAAACAGCTCAGAGATCCATTCAACTGCTGGGGTTTGTGTGTCGGCCCCCTTCAGTCTCTCCCTTCCCAGGGCTGGAGGAGCACTTAGCTCTCCCTTCAGCACCCCACCCCGCAGCCTGGCCTGGGTCTAAGGGCGAGGAGTACCAAAGATGAAAACCAGGAGATGTGAGTCCCGCTAACGCCCACGGGTGGATGAGCCTTCTGATTACTTTCCACAAAGATGCCACCAATTAGGTTCAAGCCACGGGTGCTGTCCACAGCAAGGCTTTTGGTTGGATTTACTTTAGGTCCTAACTGAAACTTCACCAGGAGACTCTGGGCTCTAACACTGGAAACTTAAGAAGGAGAGAGGAAGGAGAATATGACCACCATTCCCCCCCAACCGCCGGGCGGGGGACAGGGAGCGAGGGAGCGAGGGAGAGTCCTGTTACTTGAGCGCCAGCCAGGACAGGAAGGAGAGAGGAGAACCACATGGAGTCCTGCAGAACCTGCACTGTGGGCAGCGAACTGGGACTGGCGGTGCAGCGCGCCCAGGTTCTCTGCTCCCTCCTGCCGGAGCCTGGGGAAGCTTTCACCTCTGGGTCTCGGTCCCCCAGCCTCTCACACCCAGGACCCTCAGGCATCTTGCTTCATGGAGGAGGGGCACAGGTGCGCTGCCTTTGTCTTGTCTCCCTTCTTCCCAGGAAACAGCCCTCTCTCCAGTCAGAGCAGAGGTGGGAGGAAGGGAATTTGCAGGCGCAAAGAACAGGCACTGAAGAAGAAGAATTCCTTCACAGGAGAACCCAGGAAGGACAAAGAGCCCCCGCCGCCGCCGCCGCTGCAGCAGCTCTGGGGGATCCAGGCCAAGGCGAAGCTCGGCCCACACTGTGGGCACCACCCCTCCGCCCCTGCCCTCCAACAGCCACCCCAGACCCCCCACCAGCTCGTGCTCGGCTGGCCCTTCTCAAGTTCAGGGCCAGTCTGTATCCAGGCCTTGCGTCCAGACCTTGGAGCAGTGCACTGGTCACACTAGGTGCAAGCCTTGCTCTGCCACCCTGCCAAAGACACATGGGCACCAGCCCTCCCAGGCTGCTTTTGGCTTGCTAACCTGGTCTGGTCCTTGACGACACAATATACAATATAGTCCTCTCCAGGGGCAAAATGGTCAAGCGCAGATATCTACCTCTGTGACTGGGATGTTCTCCACATAAAGAAAGTTTCTCTAAGGTTCCCAGGGGGACCATCCTTCTCCTCTGAGTGGCCTTTTGTCACTTGTGGAGTGGAGCATGTGTTTCCTTACTCTATTAGGATAGATTTTTGCATCCTTCCTGACCCCTCCCTAAAAGAAAATCAGAAATCTGGAGTTTGATTGTAGAGGCCTGTTATAGTTTCACACTAGTTTAACAATGCTTAAGCCAACAGACATACAAACTCAGAAACACAGATAATCTGCTAAGTAAGCCGTAGGTAAACACTCCAAGTGGCGCTTCTCCCTGTATCTCCTTAGAGAGGAAAGTTTCATATTTACAGGGTCACTACCAAGGCTACCTGGAAAGCCCTGGGTTCCGGCTTTACATAAACCCCACTGCAAAAGCAGAAACAGAACACTCTTCACCCAATATATGACCTTTCAGAGACCTAAAACACATAATGGGAAGAGAGAAAAAGATCAAAAGTGATCATTAGAACCCAGGAACTTATTCCAGCAAGAGAAAAGGGGTGAGATGCAGGAGCCATTAGTATGGTAAGTCCCCATCTGAAAACAAGTCCCATGGGAGCTTTTAACAGGGAAAGGGACATGGTGGTTCATGCCTGTTATCCTAGCCCTTGGGAGGCTGAGGCAGGAGGATTGTTGGGAGTTTGAGACCAGCCTGAGCTACAAAGTGAGCTCAAGCCTGGCCTGAACTGCATAGCGAGGCCCTGTCTCAAAAAGACATTAAAAAAAAAAAAAAAAAAAAAAAAAAAAAAAAAAAAAACCTGAAAGAGTGGGGTAGGGTGGGAGGCAGAAAGCATGACCTCTCACCTCTGGTCCCTGGCCCGGCTGGCCCAGACATTCAGAGCAGAGCGGAGGAGCAGAGACCTTTCCCCTCCACCCTCCCACCCAGTGACCAACTCGTGCCCAAGTCCAAGGCAAGTGGCCCCGGGGAAGGCTTCTTAATCTCAAATGATGGCAACGGCCGAGTGGCCTTTTGTAGGGAGTCAGTGAGCCCAGGGGATGGATACCTCATAGAGCTTTCCTGTCTGGCATTCTTATTTTGAACAGGGTTCAGTGGTCATCACAGCTCAGCGCCCCCACATCTAATGCTTGTGAAGTTTTTTAGCCCTAACTAGGCCACTTCTGTCCAATTATATCTGCCAGGATTATGCGGTTTATTTGGGCTACTCTGACAGTGGTCAGACAATGCTAGAAGGTGTTCTGCTAAAAATGGTCATGGGGTCGTGGACTGTGTGTGTACATGTGCATAGTGTCTACCTGCATCACGCCTGTGTGTACACGAATTTGGGGGCTGGAGCGGGGGAGGGGCAGACCAGTGGGTGGTGGTCATATAGGTGGAAGAGTAATTTTCACTAGGTTTTCCTTGTGCTCCTTTTTCTGCCTCCCTATTATACCTTCCCTGCAGGTTTCATTCACCTTTTGCGGCCCTTCTTGAGAGCTCTCTGTGAGGAGGTGGATGACCTCACAGAGCTCTGTGAGAAGCCAGATGAAGATGTTGGGAGGGCTCTGGAGCGGGAGGGAGGAAGGGAGCCTGGGCCCGCCCTGGGCAGAGAAGGCAGAGCCATGCTTCCAATGGGAACCGTTTGCTGGAAGAAACTGGGTTTAAAGGAGCAATCACTCCCTGAAAAGGAGCTCCTCATCTTCTCCAAACACAGCCGGAGCTGTCCCGGGCGATGAATGCAGCTCTGCGCATCAAAGCGATTGTTCTACCTTCATTATTCGCCGGAATCTTTGAATGTACCTGTTAAGGTGACAGACCTTTTAAAAGGGAACATTTTTCCATGGAATTAATTGGTACATTTACTAGGCTTCTATTAACATAATTTAATATAAATCTATTTTATAAATCTTTAGGCTCACATTACTGAAAATTGAGCTTCTCTTTAAAAAAAATGCCCATGGCACTTCCCTAAATTAAATGGAATGGAATCTAAAAAATGTGCTATTCTGAGACAGCTGGAAATATAAAAAGTAGAAGCGTCTTTTGTACTGTCTTTTGTTACTGGTGGAGGTAGGGAAAAAAGAGGCAGCGTGTGTCACGCACAGCTCCCACACCCAAAGCCCCGGCACTTGGAGCCAATGACAGGGCCACAGAAGAAGGAAACGTAGATCTCTTAGGAACCTCAGTGCTCACGTGAAAACACGAAGGCCAAAAACTAGAAAACAACAATCCATCTTCCAAAGAAATTTGAGTGCAAGTTTCCTCTACCTGGGGAAAGAAAACCCTAACCTATGAGACCCTGGTCCTCAAAGGTACTCCACAAAAAGCGAAGAAAACAGACACCTTATCTGCCTGCAGAGCCAGACTCCCTAAGCTCAAGGTATCCTCCAAAATTCTGGGTGTCCCACTGTCTCTGAGAAGAGGGCCTCGTGCTCCCGGGCTGTCCTGAGTGCAGTGGCTGCCCTTCTCCACTGGGCATTGCCTTTCTTCCAGCTGAGCCTTCTGTTTCCCTGGACCCTGCAGTACCTTTGTTGAGCCTTCCAAATCCCAAACCCAGGAAGGCCCCAGGGGCTCGGCTGAGGGAATCCTGGCAAATCGGAAGTGTGCTGTGTGCTTAGGAAAGTAACTAGTTTCAGATTAATGAAACAGTGACAATTTCAATCTGCTTAGAGGCGGAGGTTGGCACTGCCCAGGCCTGAGCATGGGGAGCTCGCCAGGCTGGGCTTTATATTGTCCCCTTTTCTGAAGAGCAGACAAAGATGGATAGAGAGACATTGAAAAGCAGGGAGAGTATTTAAAACAGCCCCATAAAGCGAGCTGTCACTTTAAGACAAGAACCATAGTGCTTTGATGACTTTGTATTAGCTGCACCATTTCAAATAGGGGGCTCAGCCCTCTAGTGAGGGGCAGAAAAAGGAGGGGGAGAGGGGAGTGAAAGAGGGGGGAGAGAGCGAGAGAGGGAGAGAGAGGAGAGGACGGAGAGGGAGCAGTACTTAGCCTGTGAGCACTGTTGCGAGACTAATTCTTAGGCAACTGCAGTAGCTGATTTCTGAAGTTCAAGGAGAAACAACCCACAGCAGGTGCAAGAGCAAAAAAGGCAGGTGGGCGCCGCGGCGGTGGGAAAGAGCGCGGTGCGTGGGCGGCTGCCTGGTCCCGAGCCCAAGCCAGCCCGGCCTCAGTTTGCTGGGAAGAGCCGGAGCAGCGCAGCAGCCGCCCCTGACGGCTGCGGATTATAATGGAAATTTCTCAGAGCTGGAGAGAGAAAGGGTAGGAGGGAGGGG